GCCGAAGCCTGGAGCCTAGAATCCGTCCAGGTCTCTCTCATTGGTGGGAGGTCCTCAAATACTTGGGCCATCTTCTGCTGCATTGAGATACATTAGCAGTTAGCTGGGTCTTTGACCAGCACTCTGCTACAGGATTCTGAAGTTACAAGTGGCACCTTAATCTGTTGTGTCACAACGCTGGCCCCTACCTTTGAGTTTTATATTGTCATGTGATTTTATGTTGCAGTTTATTGTCCATCCTCTTTACTTTTTGCTTCTCTGCTTCTTTCATTTTGAACATCCCATTTTTGGATTCTCTGATACTTTGTTCTGCCCGGTCATGTCTGCTGGTGAATCCCTGTAGTGAATTTTTCAATTTTGTGTTGTATTTTCAACTCCACAATTATCCTTTAATTCTTTTTCATAGTTCCTGTTTCTTTGTTGATATCATCATTTGGCATACATAATTCTCCCTATTTTGTGTAGTTGTCTCTATGTGCTGTCTTCTAATTCCATGAATATCTTTACGAAATGAGAGTCTATCAGCTAATTAATGTGTCTATCCCTTTATCAAATCACCATTCTGAGAAGTAGAATTTGACTGTACCTTTAAAGTGCTATTACTGTGGCTGGGTAGAAAGGGACGCAGACATTTTCTTACATCTCTTCTCCATGTTCATAGTACATGCAAATCATTTAGATATGGGGGTGGGGGATAGCAGTTGATAGAAACACAGGAGTCAGATAGTGCTCAAGGTTCCCCAACACTGCATAGTTTCCCTCTTATAAATCAGAGCTTTAGTGTTTAACAGTAGATTATAGAGACCATCTTGGTCAAAGTTACTTAATCATGAATTTAGTAATTCCACCTGATCTTCCCTAACTTACTCCAATATAATGTGATCAGTGGAAAATGTTTTAGCTTTGTACTTTTTTGAGAACAAGTTATACAGTCTCCCTTTGTTGTAAAACTTTTTACCTCCCTTTTTCAAGGAAGAATATAATGGATTCCCAAATCAAGAATTACAGATTAATAGTATTTATAGTACCTACTAGATACTAAATAGGTTTAAACCTCAGCAATAAACTTAGATTTTATTCAAGTTATATTGATAACAGAAAATGTTATATTTTAATACAGTTGGTTTTAACCAAGATTAGTATAGTTTATTGTTATTGACTAAAAAGAATAAAGCCTTAAGAGAATTAAGTATCCCAAATTCAGTGATAAAGATATTTTGAATAAGTAAAATGTCTTTTAGTAATCTGTCATGTGACTTTAAATGTATTAATGAATTTCATAAATAAAATGACAAACTGTATGGAAATATATTTATGATGACATTGTCATAATAACCTTTAAATTTTGTTTTCTTTTTAGCCTATATATGCAAACAGATTTCCAGTACCAACCTATGCAGCCAAGCAACCTCAGCACTTCCCATCAAGGTCTGAAATGAATTTGTTTTAGATTGTTTGGCCAGAATAAAGCCTGGGGATTATTAATGTCTAATACTTTCCCTGGGGGAGGGCAGTGTAAAGATACTGATTGGGACATTCCCATCCCATATCAGAGTCCTGACTCTGTGTTGGATCCCTGCCACCCAGATGGGAGACTGGGATTAAGTTACTGGCCCATCCTGGGTTGTTGTAGGCATTTGGGGAACCATCAGATGGAAGATCTCTTTCTCCTTTTCTAAGAAATAAAATAAATTAATAAATGAAAATATTAAAAAGGCCAATATAATTAAAAATAATTTCTTTTATATCTAATTTAGACTTGAGTATTTAGGTTATGAACTTGAGGGCAAGTTTAGATAGAACACAGTTTGCATAAAGACTTTAAAATATTTTTTAAAGATTTATTTATTAATTTGAAAGAGTTATATAGAGAGAGATGCAGAGGCAGAGAGAGAGAGAGAGAGAGGTCTTCCATCTACTGGTTTAGTCCCCAGATGGCCACAACAGCTGGAGCTGCGCTGTCTGAAGCCAGGAGCCAGGAGCTTCTTCCAGGTCTCCCACACAGGTGCAGGAGCCCAAGGACTTGGGCCATTTTCTGCTTTCTCAGGCCATAGCAGAGAGCTGCATTGGAAGTGGAGCAGCCTGGTCTTGAACTGGTGCCCATATGGAATGCCGGCACTGTAGGCGCGGCTTTACCTGCTACACCACAATGCTGGCCCCTAAATTTTTTTTCATAACTTGTCATGTTAGTACAGTGTGAAAATGGTATTTAAAGAAGCCTGAGCAACACATACAATCAACTGTTGCTGCAGCCTTTAATGTGTGTGATTCAGAAGCAAAGTCTTTTGAAATAACCAGCGGTAGGAGTACAGTTGGGTTGGGCCAGCCTTTCCATTGAGACCAGTTTGGAAAATGATGAGTTAGAAAATAAGTGGTTTGCAGGTAGTGGAGACAGAGGAAGAGAGCAATTGTGGGGAAAGGTCCAGTAGAGGAGGAAGTCTAGTGATCCCAGATTTGGGGCCACTATTCTGTCATTAATGGGTCCACCTTTTTTGAAAGTGATAACCAAGAGGCTAGGAAGCTGATGTGTACCTTCAGCAAACTCACGGGTAGTGGACAAACACTGGAATCCTGCCAAGAAGGAAGTACCCAGGCTTTGTCTTGGAATCCCAGGGGTAAGAGGGAACTATACCCTTAGCTGATTTATGTGATTTTTTTTAAAATGTTTATCTCCTACTAAAAAAAGCCAGATATAAAACAAAAGAAAGTGTTATGGAAACAAGAAGTAATAGATCATAAAAATAGAAGGTATCAAGTTAATAGTTGTGAGATACTGACTTTAAAATAACTATTAGGATTATATCACAAAAGTAATAGTTAAGATTGAGAATTTCAGCACAGAACTGATATTTTAAAAAAGGAATCCATGTAAATTCTAGAATTGAAAAACTTAACTGAGATTAAGGACTCAACGGATGGGTTTAAAATCATAAGGAAAGGAGAAAATTTATTGCTACATTTTGCATTCCATAAATACATGTGACCCCTCCCAAACCAAAAGTCCTTCAAGTTACAGTTACATTGCAACACTGAGGAGTGCCCTCACATGTGATCTTTATTATGCAGTAAGAGTACATTGAACTCCAACTGAAGATGGAGAGAATGTATAAATTGTGAGACACATATTTACCCCAGGTGGTATTCTAGTGTGGTGGAGTTACACTAAAATTGGTTGTGTATAAGAACTAAGAGAGGTGAGTATACAAGTAATAGCCAGTAAAATTCTGAGTAGCTGTTATGTTTGAGGGAGGAGGAATTTCAGCTCTATGCTTGTAAACAAAGAACTAGGTTTACATTTAGCAGTAATTTGCTGCCCTTATATTCAAGCAGCAAATAAAGTGTAATACATGTGGTGGTCCCAACTTTCTTCTGAATTTAAATTTACAGTGTTAAGCATGTAAACTAGAACCTTCATTATTAAGGAGTAATATTAATTTAAGGTAGTTATTCCATTTTAGACTCTTAGAGCCCTTTAACAATGGAATATCATATTTACAACAACCTCAAAATATAAATACCCTTACCTGTTTCAGGTAGGTTGAAGATGATGTTACGTTGCTCTTGTAAATATAGCATAATTTCATTCATTCCAAACCCACTATTAACTAACCCTCTTTTTTTCCCTCTCACAGGCCACCTCCACCGCAACCGAAAATATCATCTCAGGGAAATTTAATTCCTGCTCGTCCTGCACCTGCACCTCCTTTATATAGTTCCCTCACTTGATTTTTTTTTAATTCCTCTTTTTGCAAAAGTCTTCAGGGAACTGAGCTTATACTTTTTTTTCCTGATACTTTCTTAAAAAGCCTTTTTTTCCTGTTGCAACTATGAATGAAAACAAAATACCACAAAACTGTACTAACACAGAGAAACAGAAATAAAGTGTAGGAGTTGAGAAATATAAGGAAGTGTGGTAAAGCCAGGGAATTTAGAGTAGCATTTTCATTTCCATTACTGTCTTATTCAGTGATCTGTGAAGTTAATGCACTTAACATAGATTGTTATTTTGAACACGATGTTGCAGTGATTCTCAAATTAACTGTATTGATATAAAAGTTTTCATTATGTGCTTAACTGTTATTTTGAATTTTTGACCTTAGTTATCATTAATGTAATTGCTGGTGAACATGTGATAACTAATAACCTGTGAAAACTAATTAGCCACCAAAAATACTGAATGATTTTCATATTGCATGGATTAATAATCATGTTAGAATCTTGTCACTCATTCACTACATGAACAGTTAGTCTGTCTTAAGAATGCACAAGAACCACCATTAAAGTGTTACACTACCTTGAAAATGCAAAAAACACACTATGAGTGTGTGTATTCACACACAATTATTAGCTTCATTTTTATGATCTTTCAACTACAAGATGATTATTAGAAAAATGAATTTAATATTAGAATTTCTATTATGAATCATGTTAAAGCATGGCATCCTTTTACAATAGCATTTTAAATTATCAGCTTTAAGGTACGAGGTATTTAAAATGTAATCAGATATGCAGTTGATTCATGGCTGTAATAAAGCAGGAGCAATTTTAATACCGTCAGTCAGTTGAGCAGTTACAGAAGCACTTGAGAATTTCATGAGCACTTTAAGTCTAAAATTTGAATTTTCCTAGCTGGATTTTAAATCATTTAGAATGTTTACATTTACTAGGGTGAGCTGGATCTTGTCTCTTGTCACAGCTATTTTCATAGAAATTTGGGTGGAAAAAAAGAGATGGTTTTCTTAAATACAAACAAAAGTTAATGTGGTTATCTGTGAACGATTGTCTTAGCTTTATTAAAAATGAATTTTTACTATGTAAGAAACGGTATGGACAATAAAATTTTAAACACTTTAAATTTTTTCATAACCTTTCATAATAAAGTTTAATATGTTTATTAACTGAATTTCATTAGTTTTAAACGATTTTTTGGGTTGTGTATATGTACATATACAGATATAACATTTACAATAAATAATTTGAAATTCTCGTGTCTCCCAGTATCTTCCTAAATGCACATTAAGATCACAGCAATCAAAGTTCTATTTTTAGATAAAACCCTGGTGAAACCTTCACAGGTATGTCTAACCACACCACCTTTGCTAGCGTTTGTTACTAGAGGAGAACGAACGCCTCGGTTCTCTGGGCCATCACACTGGAGGGGCAGGTGTGCGGGGACCCAGCCCGGGCCGGGGCGGCGCGCAGCGGGCAGCCTCCGGGCGCCGCGGGAATCCCGCTCCAGGGTCTCGCGAGAACAGCGCCCGCGGACGGCTTCCCGCCCAACGGCCGCGCCGTCAGTTCCCGCTCGGCGCCCGGCCCCGACGCCATGCTCCGCCTGCTGCTGCTGCTGGCCGGGCTCCGTGGCTGCCCAGCGCCGAGGCCCGGTAAGCCCCGGGCCCCGCCGTCCCTCGGGGCGGGGCAGCCTCTCTCCCGCGCTCCGGAGCGGGCTCGGCTGCCTCCGACGGCCGCGGCCTCGCTCCCTGTTGGCCGGCCCCCCGTGGAGGGCGCCGCGTCGGGATGCAGAGCCACCGTGAGGGGAAGTCACTTTCGCAAGCCGGGACAGACCTGTGCGCTGAGAATCTGCGTTCTGTCAGCCCTTGCGGATGCGGCCTGCGCGGCACTAAACAACCCTGTGCCGGGAAAACAGCGCAGGAATCCGGGGCCCCGGGACCCGCCGACCCCGACCGTGTCCGGCTGTCGCTGGTCCCAGAGCCACGGTCCCGGGTGGGCCGGGGGTCCTGGCTGCTGCGGACGTTCCTGTGTCAGAGCAGGAGTCCCGCAGGAAGTCCGCGGAGGCGGTATAGACGCGCAGACGGACGGGAGGGGAGGTGTGGATGCGAGGGAGGCCCTGCTGAGTGTGGTTTCCAGGGAGCGGCCCCACCCGCAACGCCTTCGCCTTCCCTGGTTCGCAGCAGTCGCCCTGTGTTTACCAGTTCCCTTATTTTGAAATGTTTCCAATCTTTTTTACTGTTATGTACTGTATTAGCTAACAGAACACCGCACACCGTGTGACTTCAGCAATACACATTTGTTTTCTCATAATTTTGGTGGCTGGAAGACAGATCAGGATGGCAGCACATCGGGCTCTGGTAGAGGTTCTCTTCCTGCCTTGTAGACAACTTCCCGCACTCATCTCCGGGCGTGCAGGGAAAGCGAGCAAGCGCGTTTTCTGTGTTTGTGCTTAAGAAGGGCACGAATCCCTTCATGAGACCCCACCCTGTGACTTCACTAGCCCTAGTTACTTCCGTAGTTACCAAAGGCTAGCACCAAAAACTTTAGTTTGCAGCTTGAGGTTTCAACATACAATGTTGTGGTACATCAAATCTGGTAGACTTTAGATATTCTAATACAGTGCTTGTTAAGATTTTTTGGATTCAGAACCCCTAAACATCAACAGTTACTGGGATCCTCAAAAGAGCTTTTGTTTATGTGGGTCTATATCCGTATTTATCATGTTAAAAGCAAAAATAGTAATTTAAGAATGTGTATTCATTTGAAAATAAGAGGAGTAGACTATGTTAAAATAAGTTACACGTTTTTAAAATAATATATTCTCCAAGACAAAACAAATTAGAAAACTGTTGTTTTACCTTTTTGTAAATCTCTATAATGTCTGTTTTAGTAGACAGCCAGATTCACGTATCTGTTTCTGCATTTTTCTGTTTTTTATTTGAAAATAGGAAGAAAACCCAATCTATGTAGTTTGATAAGGGAGGAGTAGTTTAGTAACCGTTGTAGAAAGTTGAGGGTGTTCTTTGGGCATCACACCAAAACTTGATACTTGGTAAAGGTTAGCTGCAATGTACAATCTAAAACATGCCAATGAACTTTTCTTAATACTTGATACTGCATTTAAGTCCTTTGGTCTGTCTTTCTTGAACTTGGATCTTCTGCCAGTTTTTAAAATGTATTTTTACTCTCTCCCTAACTCTGTCAAATAAATAAATTTTAAAAAATAAAATGTATTTTTAAATACCATTTTCAATTATAAAATATGCACTAGCAGGAAGCTGGAATTGGAAATATGGACAGTAGTTGAGCTCAGCCAGCTCCATATGGGATGTGAGCATCCCAAGTGGTGTCTTAACTGCTGTCGCAAATGCCTACCTCAGATGTTTTAATTAAGTCCAATTTATCAAGTATTTCTTTTAAGATTTATTTATTTTAGAGAGAGAGAGCTCTTCCATCCGCTGGCTCACTCCCCAGATGGCTGCAATGGCTGGAGCTGGGCTGATCTGTAGCCAGGATTCAGGAGCCTCTTGCGTGTCTCCCATATAAATCCAGGGTCCCAGGCACTTAGGCCGTCTTCTGCTGCTTTCCCAAGCCATAGCATAGAGCTGGATCGGAAGTGGAGCAGCCAGAACTGGAACTGGCGGCCATTTGGGATGCCGGCACTACAGGTGGCATCCTTACCCATATGCCAAAGCACCAGCCCCATCAAGTATTTCTTGCATGGATTGTATCTTTGGTGCTGTGTCTAAAAAGATATACCAAGGTCACATGATTGTCTCTTGTGCTATCTTGCTTTCTCTAGTTTCTGGTGGCTGGCCATATTCCTTAGCTGGTGTCACCTTCCCTTCATCTTCAGACCTACGAGCACTGGTCCGAGTCTTGTCATACCACCTTTCTCTCTTCCGCTTTTGAGGACACTTGCGATTAAATTATGCCTAGTTAATCTGGGGTGATTATTTTAAGCTCTGATGATTAATAACCTTAATTAACTGTGATTTCCCATGTAGCAGTATATTCACAGGTTCTGGTGATTAGAAAGTGGATATCTTTAGGTCTTCATTCTACCTATAGTGAGATTCCAGGTTAAAACAGAATTAAGAGATTTAGCAGGGTTCTGAGGCAAGAAGGTATTGCTATCACTGCCAAGCAAAAATGCAAACTTGAAGTCTTTGCTTACTGGGAAAGAGAAAACAGCAACTTTTTCTGTCCGTGGTCTATCCAGATGCCGATGCCAATACCTGTGTTCATTTGTTTCAGACCATATTTGGAGCAATATCTTTTTATTGTAGTTAATACCTGATTAAACTTGAGAAAATTCATCACCTTTTTTTTGTTGATGTTGCTTAGTGTTGTTTTTGCAGCTCAAACAAGTCATTTTGGTAACTATAATAAGAATCACTACTCTTGCATACTTTAATTATCTTGTGGTAAGACTAATTTCTGTATGCAGAAAGACTTTTTGCAATATATGTTGTAAATGGTAGAGGTGACATTCAGGGTTTTCATTTGACTCTCCCTGTCATAGGAATCTTCTCTATGGGGCAGAGGCGTGAAGTATGCATTTTGAATGTCACTACTGTGTCTGTTTACACAGACTGTTGCATTAAATTATGATAGGACAGATTTATAGATCATTGGTTGCACGCATAGCTATGAGAACCTAAATTCTGTTCATCACCTGAGTTCACTTCATTCTTCCTCAAGTAGTATTTTAGGCCCTCAATAATCAGTATTAGCTTAGAGCCAGTGTTTAATATTTCATGGATCTGAGTAATTGGGTTTTGATTTTGTGGATCCAGTCTGAGGATTTTTCTTGTCAATCACTTTATTCTACTTAAATTTATTAAAATAATGGAGATTTTTGATTTTGCTGCTTATTTCACCTAATTTTGTGCTTTTGTGTTGATAAAAAAAATCACCATATAAATTGTGATATTCTGGGTTTGCTTTCTAGGTACTTTGTGTGTTCTTTCTTAATCTGGAATATTTAGAGTGTTTTATATAATAAATAATCCTTTGTTTAGGTAACTAATGATTCTTCACCATGAGTGATTAGGAAATTTGGTGTCTTACTACTTGTTTGCACCTCCTGTTGTCCTTTTACTACATCATTATGATTATTTTGGTCTTAATTTTTCTGTACCTTTATGCCATGAAACAATATGCCGCCAATTGTCTTATTTGTTTGCAACTGTAAGTCACATTTTTACCGCTTTATACAATAAATTTAATGAAATCAGTATGTTCATATGTTCTTCTTTTTCTCTTGCTGTATTTACCATTATTGTATGTGCTCATGTGTATTACTATGTCTACATAATTTGTTTTGACGTATGCATCTTTTTATATAAGTATTATTTCTGTAATTGCTTTAGCTTTTATTCTGTATTTAAGTTTTTTTAAAGCTCATCATTAAGACATTTACCGCAACTTTGATGATAATGTTTTCTGGGAATAATTTGTCTGCCTCTGTTAATAGGCACATGTGAAATATTTTCCCTGAATTTTTGCTTCTAAATATCTGTTTTTTGCTTTATAGTTGAATGGCAATTTAGCTTAATATAAACTTTTTGGGTCTTTACTTTCTTTTAAATATATATATATTTGATATATTGATATTTGATATATATATATCAAGATTTATTTATTTATTTGAAAGGCAGAGTTATAGAGATACAGAGGCAGAGAGAAAGAGAGAAATGTCTTCCATCTGCTGGTTCACTCCCCAAATGGCTGCAATGGATGGAGCTGAGCTGATCCAAAGCCAGGAGCCAGGAGCTGCTTCTGGGTCTCCCTTAAATATATTTTAAGACATTGTTCTTCAGTCTTTTAACGTTAAACATTGTCAAAAGTGAGTTTTCAAGTATGTATTTATTATTTTCTTGTCTACTTGTTTGATTTTTCTTCAGGAACAGCAAATTTTATGTGTGGTGAATGCTTTCCTCCTTGCCCTTAAAAAAACTTACATAAAAATTTTGTTTATTTTTCAAATTGGGTATTTTAAATGTTTTTATAGTAATACACAATGATGTGCCACCCATATTTTCACTGGAAAACCTTATACAGGAAATTGAACAGATATTTATTCAAATTTAAGACAGTTACTGTGTTTTTTGTTTTTTTGTTTTTTTTCAGATTCTCAAAATTCATTTCTGCAAATCATATTGCCAGAGAAAATCGAAGCAAATACCAGTATTAATTCAGAAGTAGATTACGTAAGGAATATTTTGCCACTGTGTAAATTATGTGAAATTTCTTTTTTTTAATTACATGGTTATGAAATATATCAATCCTATTATAGTATTAAAGTAAGTTTCTAATACTCTTAATAAGGAATTTAAAGTTTTTTTATTTTTTAAATTAAAAAAAATTATTTAGGTTATATAAATTTCATGTGTTTTCTATGTACAGATTTAGGAACATAGTGGTACTTCTCACCTTACCCTCCCTCCCACCAATGCTCCAACCTTTCTTTTCTCTCTCCCATTCCCACTCTTAATTTTTACAAAGATCTATTTTCAGTTTACTTAATGATTGTAAAGTTAACCCTATACTAAGTAAAAGAGTTCAATGAATAGTATGAAGAAAAAAAGCGTTTTTCGTCAATGGAATAGACAAGGGCTGTAAAGTCATCGAATCACAAAATGTTCAT